AGTGAATTGGGAAGAGATGTTGAGTTACAAAATACACATATAGTCTTAGTCAAGTCACCGAGAGATGTTTTACAAATCAATACATTGAGTCAACAACTAGGTCTAGGATCACAATTGAAAGAGTGGTATCAAGATGCAACATCTACTCCTTATGGTCATTTACTCATTGATCTAACTCCAAAAAATATCCTGATTCGCTAAGATATTGCACAAACAGTGGTTCAGTTCAAACTTTATCTAACAACAGGAACAGAAAAAAAAGTTTTTGGACGATGAGCATACAATACGTTTCTATACTCCCAATATTTCAAATATTAAAAAAAAACTTCAAAAACAATTCATCCTCCATTGTCCAAAAAATTTCATTCAATTCCTCAGCGAATGACTAGTAAACTTACTACGAGGCGAGCTAAAGGACCTTCGAAAAGTAGACGTAGTAAAATATCGAAGAGTAATATCAGAACTCTTTCGATGAAGAACTTCACTGCAAAAAAGGAAAACTATTTTGAGCTTGCCAAAAAGCTTATAATTAATATATGTTATCATTCCTTTTGTCATTAAACGATTGACATAGTATGGATCAGTTTGTTCTAATTCCTTACTCAATTTATCAATCACAAAGTACACTTCCAAAAAAAAAAATGGAACAAAAGCAAGAAAAGAGGAGATTGTACCAAAAGATTTTGATTCTATTTATAGTCATGTAAATGCAAAGTTGAAAACGAGTGACAATAAGCACCTTATTGATTTAATTTTGAGTTCTCCTAGAATTAGACTAAGTCAGTTAGAAAATATCATATTAGATTATCGAGACACAAAAGAATCAATTGTGGACTTTGTGTGTGCACTAAAACGAAAAAAAATACCGACTTTCACGATATTTACTTTAACATTTTGGAATCAACTCAAATTCCGCCTAAACTTGTTATCAACAAGAATGCCAAAGCGAAAGACAGAGGAACTTGAATATTTTTCAAAATCTGAAAAGGTAAGTCTGAACAGATTGTATTCTAGGAGTAGAGCTGCGTACGGTTCTGTGCAAAACTTGAGTAAAGCAAGCGGGTTGTCAAAAAAGAAGGAAGAACAATTTCTGCAAACCAAGACATCTTTTACAAAATTTGGTCCACCAATCAAACGTTTCCGAATGCTTCAAGCGTTCTTAAAATATATCATTGAAATCTGGCGTATGGACTTGACATTTGTGGACAAACTAGCGAGTCAAAACGATGGAGTCAAATATTTATTGGTTGCTGTTGATGTTTTTTCGCGATTTGTCAGAGTTCAAACAATGAAAACTAATTATGCCAAAGACACTTTACAACCTTTCAAAAAAATGATTTCTCGAAAAAACACACTCTGAAAAGCTTTGGGTTGATAAAGGAACAGCATATGGGGGAACTTTCAAAAAATTTTGCAAAGAAAAGAAACATTGAAGTTCACCCGACAATGAGTGAATCAAAAGCTGCATTTGCAGAGAGAGCCATTCAGTCATTAAAACACATTATTTACCGCTAGATAGACGATCATGGTGAAAAAATCCTTCCTAAGTTGCCGCAATTTGTGTCTACAATGAATTGTCGCATCAATAGATCTATTGGAAAATCACCTAGAGATGTCAAGAATACTGATTTCCTCTCAATTATGTACAATAAACCTCTAACAAGGTATAAGAAACTAAAAATCGAAGTTGGAGACTGAGTGAAAAATTCGAAGAATGATATTCCGTTCCGAAAAGGACGCAAACCACAATTTACAGATAAAATTTCTGAAGTTCCGGCAATATCTACAAAAAGCCCCCTACATACATCATCAAAGATCTTGACAAAGAAGAAATTCATGGTAAATTTTATGAAGAAGAGCTTAGAAAAGGTTCTAATTAAAGATAAATTTTTTTTAAAACTAAATTTCTATTAATCAGTTGTCATGGATTCTTTCACTATTGAGTTGGTTTCCAACGCTTCTTTTAATTGTTATCCGAATAATAGTCTCAGTTTTTTTACAAACTTTCTACCCGAACATTTGAAAGGATAATGGGAGGTTGCTATTTCAGAAATATCATACCCTTATTTGTACCAAAATGTTACAGAGTGAAAGTTTACATTCGTAGATGATAGAGAAAGTTCTGAGGAGAAAATGAGGATTGTAACGATGAACAATGAACCAGGATTGTATCCAAGTATTGGTGTTATAGTTTTAGCCATGAACAACAAAATTCAAGAACGTCTAGGTGCTCAAGTTTTTGAATATAACGGAATATATGTATCAGTAGATAAAAATACACAAAAAAGTGCTGTTCATTTACCTGAGAATCAATATGGTGTGTTTGTAACCCCAGTGTTTAAAATTCAGAGTGCTGATTTGAGCCACATTTGTGGTTGTGATTTAGAACAAAATCAAACAAGGGTTACAATGAAGGAACAGGTCTACATTATCCTCAGTATTCTTACGACAATACAAGAAAACATTCCCTAATGATTCATAGTGATGCTATAGAATATAACATAGTCGGTGATACAAAACTCCCTTATTGCGTTGTATTCCATTTATCTCCAAAGTGAAGAGTGTAGATACAATTTCTACAGGACAGTACATGAATAATCAGTCCTTTACAAATTTACAGTTTAAAAAGCTGTTGAACAATTTTTTCCATAGTATCAAGATAGAACTAAGAGATAGTACAGGCGAAAAAATTCCTTTTGTGTCTGTAGGAATCACTCGAGTTGTTCATTTGTTCCGCAACATTTCGAATAATCATTTTTGATTTAAACTTCATACGAAAAGGTTGATCAAAATTCAGCTGATTTCCCTATTTTTCGAAGACATGCAAAACAGCGTGGAAGAGGGTTTGGAGCTCTTGAACAAACTCTTGGGAGAACTGCAATCCCCTTTATTAAAAAATATATGGAAGAAATTAGAAATCAAATGGCAAAGAAATTAGAAAATTTATCTGAGGGTAAATTTCTCTTAAACTTTCACTCTAGACAACCAGCTGATCAGAAAGTTTGTCAAAAACGCTTACTTAAAAGTGAAAGAAACTTACTGAATAAAAACACCCCAAGGATGTTTATTGCGCAAATGTTTAATTGTGTCAGAAAGCACCGCAGTTTGTACCGGGCTTGCAGATTTAGTTTGAAAAAGGGCACGCTTTTTGAAAAATGAGATTAGAGAGAAGATTTTCAAGACTATAGAAAAACTGCAACTTAAAAAAAATCTGATACTATTAACTTTCTAGTTTACAAATTTGCTACTGAACTCGGTGTGAAATGTTTCAAATTTTTATAAAAACCGAGTTATTGTAATGGATATTAAGAACTAATAGAAAATTTGAACAAAACTCTATTCAATCGAATCAAGTAAAAATTTTAGATTCTGATCCACCAAATCAAGTTGTTTGCTGCATAACGGAAATAATTCAAAATTGGTCGCTGACTTGATATCACTGTGATTATAAGTTGACCTATGACTTTTGTAGGTTAATATGAACATAACTCTTTTTTCAAACAATTTTACCTTTAGACTACTGATTTCGATTAATTCTATAATTATAAATAGCGGAAACGTTTTTAGGTCATTAAAGTTATCAAAGTTAAATAATTTATTAACAATTTTATAGTTTTCAAAATAAGTACGACGAAAAAAAGATGAAGCCAATTTAGGGATACTTTGTAGCAGGGCATCAATTAATGCAATGTTTTATGTTTATAACTTAGAAATTTAGCCTGAAGTTTAATTTTTTCAAAGGCTAACATCATATAATTTTCGAAAATTCTTCAAATGTAAAAGCTGTTTCAGTTGCCCTCATAAAATTCCATACTATTGTTTGTATCTCTGTTTTCACTAAGCATGTTCAGATATTTACTTGAAGCTTTTCATTTCAATCGAGTATTGACTGATGAAAAGCTACTCAATTAAGCAACCACAAAATCGAAAATCTCAATTTAAAACATTAAATATCAGATGTTTTTTTTCCAATCAAGGAATCTCTGTTTGGGCGACGTGTTTTGCATAAAATTTAGAAGAATTTTTTTTAAACAATGTTGAACCACGTTTAGATATATGTATCTTAAGCTTTTGAAACATTTTGTGATCAGTTTTTGTTGATATCAAAAAATTTTGCTCGTCTTACCAAACTATAAAAGTTTTACCACCCATAGTTTTTATCTTAAAATTAGAAATAAAACATCTTACAGCTTTTTTGATGGTTCTAGGGATAATTTGAAAACTGCCTAAAGGCTATCATTTACCGCTTTAAATTTCCAGGAAAAAGAGCAGATATAAGTTTTTCTTTCAACTAAGAAAAAACGTTGAGTTCTATGGTTAAACGGTCTCAATCATTACGAGGCCAAACTGTGCGTTTTGTGGTTTTAAAGCAGGCTCCGCATCAATGACGATCTTTTTCTACTTCTTTTGTTCTTTCTGTTTTTAATCGTTTTTAAACTAATCACTTAAAATGGGCCAAACATTTTCTTGAAAATCTATTATGTCACGTTTTCTCCGCTCAGTGTAACTTATGTAGTCGGCGAAAGAAAATAAACATCTTCTGTTTTCAAAATTCTTTGATCATTCACTTTGATCCCGTTACTAAGTGATGATTAAACTTTTTCAATTATTCAAAAGCAGTAAGCACTGAAAATGATTTTTTCTAATGAATTGATCAAGTTTCCAGACTTTTTCAACCTTCACCTTTTTTCACTAATTTAAGTTCACACTGTTTTATGAAGTTTTTCTAAAAGTTTATATTGCAGAGAAAAACCCTCAGGTTATATGATTTTCCATAATGAACTGGTCCACCAGAGTTTTCGGTCGTAATGAACTTGCTGTTTGAGCCCGTTGAATAATCTGTACCAAATTGTTGTGGTTTCAGATTAGCTGGAATTATTTGATTGGATAATTGAATTTTGTGGTGCTGCTCATTGGCACATTGATGAAGGCACATTGATGAAAATGATTGCAAGTTTGACGAAATGTAAATATTCATTGAAATTGAAAGCACTGTGTGATTAAGTGATGAAGTTATACACAAACTTTTGTGTAATCAAAAAGTTTTCTTCATTAGACGATTTCCCTGCCGAATGTTCTTTTTTGCTTTAAACGTCAGTCAGAAAAAAAACTGCAGTTATTGTTTCTATAACTACACAGCTCGTCGAATAACCAGTGCTTGCTATCGGTTCACTCCTGAAACAAACATTCAATCTGATTTTAGAATTTTTTTATGATTAAAAACTAAGAAACGTTGGTTGCTTTTCTTCAAACAACATTCACATTCTTCTTTTAGTTGAAACCAAAATTGAGTTTTGAAAACGGTTTCGAACTATTTATGTCTATTCCACACTTGCCTTACACTCATTCGATCAAAATGTCTTTCACTGGAAACAGTTGAATGCAGGGTCGGCTTATTTTTAATGCGGCGTCGGCTCATTTATTTTCCGTTTTCTAGGATAGCTGCTGAACTAGAAAGACACACATTCCCCAAGCAACAAGTGAAAAAGATCTCAGTAACTTTATTTTTAACAAACAAATTATTTCAAAATTCCTTAAGGCTAAAACTACCACGTCTGGTAACTGGAGTTTCAAATATCATCTGTGACCAAAACGCTGAGGTTAAAAATATTGTCGCTCAATAACATGAGGTCTTTTGTCCCATAGGGTCTTATTAAATACACAAAAAAGAACGCACTTTTTAAATTGAAAATTTTGTTTTAAGACGCTGAATGCGGATTCAAAACAAATTAACACTTCGAACTTCAACCACGCAAAAAAATAAAACAAATCCTGAAAAATCGATAACCATAACTTAATTTGAGCAACTTCAGTCAATAAACTCTTTTATAATTCCGCAAACAAGCTACAAAAATCCACTTTCAAAACCACAAATTGTTCCGTTTATCATCTTCTCTCACAGCTTTGTTGGATAGTGGATTTAAGATTTAATCCAGCAAACTAAATGAATATGACTTTAAAAGAAACCAGAGTCCGAACAGAAAAAAAAGAAATGTGAACAACTTCAAGACTTCTTCATTTCAAAAACAAACAGATTAAATCATCACACTAATATAAGTGTCGCCACAACGTTTAAAAACTCCACAAGATAAAACGGCTTTACCCGAACAAATCCATTGTTAAAACTTTTTCTATTTCGTTCAATTTTTCATTGAGACAAATTATCTTTTTCTTTCCTTTTTTTTCAATCTGTTATTTTTTATTGTTGACATATAATTTTATGATTTACCTCTTACATGTTTGTACGTTTTCTGCAGATTCTTGAAGCTCAGCAAAGTTTTCGTCAGTCATTAAAGCATGCTCTTTGATGTTTCCTTGAGGTTCGTATAAGCACACAAGAAGATTTTTGGCACACTCAATAAATGGCGCTACCCCGCAACCCACTCGTGTGCTGTTTGCCCACATGATCTAGAACAACAGAGATTGATCTATCGAAACTTTAGTCTAGCAAAGAACAACGATTTTTAAGTTCAATAGATTAAGCGTTCACTGAGCCTTGAACGATGCAAAGTTTGGTTAACCGCCGTTTTGTTTTTGAAAGTTGAATGGTTTGAACATCGCGGCTACGTATTTTTCAAAACGTTTTTTTAACGTGTTTTTGACAATTATATTTAAAATTGCTCACTTCAAACGAATATTAGGAGCATTTACTCTAATTTTGCTTTTAAAAGTTGAGAATTAAACTAAGCTCTCAGCTAGGATGTCATCACGAGTTTTTTGTGAATTGAAATTTGCATCCTCCAACAAAGCGAAAAATTTTAAGATTTGGCTTTCAAAATCAAACAGAATATAGTTAAATATGTAACTTTTCAATTGCAGAAAGTGACTCTTGACTTAAAAAGCAACTCATCAAATTCATTTGGAACTCTCAATTCAGAAGCAGACCAAGTTTTAAAAAAATTTTCTTGTCCACTCGGTCAGCAACATTTTTCTTGAATCTTTGTAGAAAAAAATTTAGCCGGGATATCTCTCAACATTTTTGAGATAGAACGAAAGAATGACTCAGCTATGTTTAGTGATTTAAAATACACACTTCTTTCTTTCAAAGAATTTTTGCTGTTGTAAACAAAAGTGTTTCAAAGGAGTCAAACACTTCAAATGTTTTTTTTTCAATACAAAAATTTTTAATTAAAAAAACCTAGAAAATGTAACTTCCAGAAGTCCAATCAATTATAAAAAAACAAGGAAGCCGAGAATTGACTGCACTTATTTAATGGCCTCCTGAATTTTCTTTATTGTGTTCTTGTTCTTGTATAACTGTGTGATAAACGGGTAAAAGCTGTAACACTGAACATGAAATCTTGCATAACAATGTTCATAGTTCAAGACTAATAATTTTCAGGAAATATCAAAAAAGTAAGCTTCAGACAAAAAGCTGAGGTCGATTTTGAGTCAATAGTTAATTCAAATAATATTTAGCAGTGAAGTCGATCTTCGGGTCCCAATCTCGAATGTTTCCCTCATCTGCGTTCCACCCGGCTATTGCTTCAAATCTTCTTCAATCTTCCAAGTCATCTGTCGCGAACAGTTTTATTATTCTCTTAGTAATGTTTTTTTTACTCATTTATTTTCAATTACGTTTTCAAATCAAGTTTTTGCTGAATAAGATTTTTGAGTTGCCAGTTGTTTGGGCAGTTGTTTTTGTTGCTTTCTATGTCTATGATGATCAAAACACGTTATAATGCTATGTTTTTCAGCTTACTTGTTCGCTGTTTTCCACCTCTATGGGTTTTTTTTAGATTTGAGGTTTCGTTTCAAATCTTTTGTTTCATTTTCCTTTTTTTCACTATTTCTTTTTTTATTCCTTGTTTGGTATGATTTTCTTGAATCTTGCGCTTTTAGCCTTTGAAAAGATATCGTTTGATCAGTTTATTGGTTGCGTCCTTTGTTTCTGCATGCTTGTGGCTTTTTTCTGTGATGCCTTTGGCTAATCTCAGTTCTTCTGAGAAAAATGCGGTCAGTCCTGAAACTCAAAAACTACCTTTAATGCTCGTTCTGTTTTTTTTGTGTTTGTTATCTGTAAAGTCCAGCTTTTTCCGGTACCTCTGTTTTTACCCGACCAGGTTTAAACACGGCGATCTAACTCTGTCTGTAGCGTCTCTGTACTAGTTAGAACATTGTTGAAAGATGCTCGAGGGAAAAGAGCCCGGCCTGCGGGCATGAAGGGCCCGATGGCGGCTCTTTAACCCTAGGCCATCTTCAACTATTTTCTAACAGTTGAAGAGTATGTTTTTGCTATTTCTGAGGGAAAGATACCCGAAATTTGTGAAAGAGCCCGGAAAATTGCGGAAATTTCATTTTTCATCCATGTCTTGTCGTGAAAGAGCTTGTGTGAAAGAGCAAAAATATACTCTTCTTAGCTCTAGTTCATCAAATTTAAAAAATTAAATTTGTTTCAAGTAGTGCAATGATAAAACAATATAGAGAATTTATCATTGAAAGAGCACCAACTTGAACGAGCGCAGAAGGTTGTTAAGACTGTTGAAGCGCCGCTAAGAATTTTCTTTTAAGTTTTGTCTTATATGGACCTGGTTGTTTATTCTAACTAACATTTATACAAAAAAGATAATAGTTTAAAAAAAACCTTACAGCTTCTTTTTCTTACATCTAATTGATAAATTTTTGCAGTAGATTTTACAAAAAAGAAAAAACGGTTTTCAGACATGTTTTCAAAACAATTTGTTAAAGTAGTCGCAAAAAATTCAAAAAGTATCTCTGAGTTCATGCAAAAGGTTGTCTATAGATTGTTTAGGCTCAATTAAAAATTTTTAACGATATTCATATTGAAAATGAATAGAGAATTTTATAGTGTCCGTATTCGCACAATTTTTTTTGTTATTTCGTGCTAAAATTTTTTTGTTTATTTTATTTTTCTAGTGGTATCAAGTGATTTGTCTAACTCTTGTTTGAAATGAAATTGTTCACGTTGTCATTTTTAAATCCTCATCTAATTACTTTAGATAGTATTTTCAGCAGTTGTTATACGTGTAGTTCATTGATTGAGCAAATTCCATGCGTTTTTCTTATTGTCATTTTTTCTTGTGTTTTTTTTGAGGCGAAACGCAATTGCAATTAAAAAAATTGGTTGTATTTTTTTTTAAAGCGGTTTAGTGGCAACTCCGTATTCTAATGCCCCATATTGATTTATTGGTTGTATAAACTTCTTCTAAATTCAAATGAGAACAGATGAGCTGAGAAAATGTCTTGTTTGATAAAAAATTGATATGAATTCAGTACATTTTTTGTTACTAATTCAACATGTTGGCTGAAGGTAACCTTTTGATCCAAAATTTTTCCTGTCGTTTTAAATGCCGTTTTTAGTTCTATCGTGTTTTGGTTCCAGGTAAAACTTATAATCCCAATTGTTTCTATAAACCCAACTGATTGTCTGCTTCAGCATCTTTTTCTTTATCTCGTCCTTTTTTCTCTTCGTGTCAGCGTTGCTTTGCGTCGACTTATCAATTGTAATTGTCCGACATCAATGGCGTTGCGAGGTCTTCTTATCCAAACTGATTTGATTTCTTGTTCCATAAGATGTTATTTCTTCAAAGCTAATGATTGAAGTGTGGTTATTCGATTTTAATTCCGATTGCACTTATAATGATCAATACTGTTTTTTTTTTTAGAAAAGGTAACATCCACTGAATATCGTGTTTGTTACTTTTTCGTTTCGAGCTACGAAGTGAGCATTTTTTTCACATTTCATCCATTTCTTTAACTACAAAATAATTAGCACTTTTTTAAAAACTTTGACATGTTATGAATTACAATGTCTTACGAAAAAAAAAAACGGATTGGAAAAACGTAAAAAGCTGTTTTCAAAGCAATGTGTCTGATCATTTAGTTAGAGGTCATCAAAGAGGTGTTCATAATCCTAAAGAAAAGCAGTAGCAGTAGAGAAATTGGCATATAGAAGATATTATTAGGAAGCTTAAGATCTGAAAAGTCTCCTCCATATATTTCGCTTGGTCTAAAAAGAACTAAAACATATTTTAAGCTCTTAGAGAGTTTGAATAAAAACTCAGCACTCTAATCAGAAAAATTATAGGTGCCAAAACTTAAGGTCATGTTTCATAGCTGACTACGTTTTTGTATTCCTTTTAAAAAAGAAAAAAAATGAATGAAGCCTACTTTAGATCCTTAGCTTTCCAACAAAAACTTTTAAACTCAAAATTTTTAAACTATTTCTGCTATTTACAAGCATTTTATTTGCACCAGGAACACCTCTCTGAAACCTTGAAGCCTTTCAATTCAGTAGCACTAAAACACTTTGTAAACAGGCTTTTAAGCTTTTTCATCTGGCTATAGTCTAAAGGACGGTTTCCTCTCTCAAATGACAAAGTTGCCAACCGTGAATCGTGGAAAATGAGAATCATGGGGAAAATTGCTCTTTTGGTCCATGGAAAATGAAAATAGCAATTTCTATATCCTCTGACTGTAGCTCGATAAAAAAAAACTGAATTTTTTTAAAGCACAAAAATTTTGAAAAACAATCAACTATCCTTCAACTATTAGCAAAAAAGGGTACCAAAAGTTCATGTGACTGTATTTTTTTTTCGAATAAAAAAACTTTGTTTCTTGCCTAAGGATAATCCAAATTTCTTTTTTGTTCCATAGTTCTTTTTTGGGACTAGAAATTTCACATGGTCCCACCATTGCAGCTGAAGTTGGTCAGACTGCGGTAGATCTGAAGCTAGAGGTTACGTGAGAAAAAGATCTGCCTTGCACATATATACTTCGATATTTACTATTACTTCTGTACACATGCTGATTTCTATCCTGCGCCTGTTGACAGACCGCAGGAAAGAGGGTTAACCCATCATAGGTCATTCAAAATTTGTTGGAACTTAATTCTTTACGCTCGTATTGTTCAAAAAACTGTTGTGTCCCATCTAAATAATTAAGATCATTGGCGCATTTGCGCATTTTCCGTTAGTGAACAAAACGGCGGTTCAACAGAACTACTCATCACTCGCACTACAATTCTTGTATTTTACTTTTATAGGACATTTGGAACGAGTTTTTGTGACCGTTTTTTTTTTAGTATTTTCGATTCCATCATACTACCTCTCCGAAACAGAAGCAATTTTTGGGGCTACAGATCTAACGTTTAGATTATAGTTCAGTTTTTCATGCGTTACAGATATTATATTTTTCAATTACCTTTCCAATTGTTTCAATTAGGTTGTTTCTATGACAAATTGCTGTGATATCTTGGAAATTTTTTAAATCTTTTGGAGAACTTTGCAACAGTTCTACAAAAAATATCGATGAATGTTTTTTCCGATCAAAATCTTCCAAAAAACTTTATAGATTGTAACAATCGCCTACTTAAGTCACATATGAGGTTAAAGAAAAATAGGCTCTATAACCATTGGCTCAAGAGTCAGGGACACTATATCTTCTGT